TCCAGCAAGGGTTCACCTCCCAGTCCTTCCCAAGCAGTGCCACTGGGGACCAAGAGTTCAAAATCCAGAGTCCATGGGAGACATTTGTCATTCGTACACCACAGTCAGCTTCCTTGTCTTCCTAAGAAGCAGACCCTACTGTGCATTCTCTATTCCTTTCCTGTTTCTATCCAGGGATTTCTGCTCTTACATTTAACAGTACTTTACTACTTGGCTATGTTTGTTTTCTAGTGTCTAAAAGTGGGAACCTCATCTTTCTAATTTAGCATTTAGAGATATTTTTGAAACTGTATTTTTGCCATGCTTGGTGTAATGCTCTACATAGTCTCAGATACTTAGAAGGCTAAGGCAAGGAGGTCTCAAACTAGTCTATTGGAGCAGCTGGACAACATAGTGACATCTTGTATTTAAAAAAATGATTTGGGGAGATAGCATAATGAGTTATGTGCTTACTACACAGGCATGAGAGCTGGAGTTCAGATCCTTAGCTCCCATGTAAACAGCTGGGTGTGATAACACATGCCTTTAAGTCCAGCATGAGTGGAAGTTAAAGACAGGAAGATCTGATGGGCTTGTTGATTGGCCAGTTTAGACAGCTGAGCCAGTTGGTCAGCTCTAGGTTTAGTGAGAGACCCTGTCCCCCAAATAAGATCAAGAGTGAGAGAAGGAAAATACCCAATATTTTTCTCTGGCCTCTATACACTGTACATACAGTTGTACTTCCCACACATGCACGCACACACGTCCTCTGCTAAAATTTTGCAAATACATTTGACTCAGATTTTCATGGCTTTTTCACTTGCATTCAGCTAACAACTTTCTCATTTCCTTTGATTTTTTCACTTGTAATTTACTCATAGTTTCCAAGTATTTAAAACTTAAATTTTTGCTGTTGAGTCTTTTAAATTCTACCACATTAGAGGCAGTATACTTTGTGTAATTTGAATTGTTTTAAGTTTTGAGGAAGTGGTCTGTGTCTTCTACTATGCTTTTGACTGACAACACTCCAATCATGTGTGAAGATTGTATAATGTGCTATTATGGTTAGCGTGATCTTCATTTAGGTTATGTTGGCTGATGGGGTTGTTCAGGCTTTTATCTTCACTGAATAAAGGCCAGAAATTTTTAGACATCATTTCTTCATAGACTTTTGTCTTCCTCTCATGTTTAATTCCAATTCTCTAACACTAGTTTTATTATTTCATTTTAGCAGTTTATTACTTGTTCACCATTACTGATCTCTTTTTTTTTTTAATGTCTCATGTTAATCTACCCAGGCCAATTTACATCTCCTTGGATTTTTATCCTTGAGATGACCTTGTCCCTTTCTTATCTCTTAGCATGCTTGCATCTCCTCAGTCTTCTTGAATATGAAGCATTTATACTCTAATGAGCATACTCATTACACTCTATTATACTCTATAATTCTATCATCTATATCCTTTATGGATTTGTTTTTCTTATGCCATTTTATTTTCCTGCTTCTTTGTACATCAGGCAGTTTTGGTGCTGAGACATTTTGAATTTTAAATTGTTGGGTAACGATTGCTATGCATGTATTTGTAATATGAACACACAAACGTAACATATGCTGCATTATAAATGTATAAATATTCTTTTAGTTTAGTACTGAGACATGACCAAGTTATTTGGAGGCACTTTTAGCTTTTCAAGACTTGTTTTTAAATTTAAGCAGGAGCATCTTAGCTTTCAGAGCTTTCATGGCAGCAACCTGCCATGTTCATACAGGTGCTGCAGTTACTGCTAGGTTGCTGTGCTGATGTAATACTCAATCAACCACATACAATGAACACCTTGTCCCAATATGTAAGTCTACTGGTGAAACATGATGCTACTACATTGCTGTGCTCTTGCTGATGAGAATGGGAGTACTCCCCAGCCAAGTGAGCCACTGTAACTGAGTCACCTGATCCTTTCTAGTTCTCTACTTGGACTGGGGACTTCTGCAGGCATTAGCTGTTCACACTGAAGGCTTGAGAGTCTCTACCCACCAGCAGAGCTTTTTGCTCTGCAAATTCTTGCTATGGCTTCCTCAAGCTCTCAGTTGTAATCTAAAGGAAACTGTAGTTTGGAGGGTCCCTTGCTTGTGGAGTGGCCTCTTCAGAGAAGCTTTGGCCATTTTAGGGCTGACATTTATCTATTCTCAGAGAGCTCTAGCATGTGTTTCACTCCTACTGTCTGAACTTCTTGTTTATGTAACTCTTTGGCTTTTGAAAGTATTTTGCCTGCATGTACTTATGTGCATACATGAGCATGCCTGGTGCCCACAGAAATCAGAGGGTGTTGGAGCCTTGGCACTGGACTTAGATGATTGTGAGAAACCACGTGAGTGCTGCCCTCTGAAAGAGCAGTAAATACTCTTAGCCAAAGAAGCATCTCTTCTCCAGTCCCCCTGTGGTTTTATCTTGTCTAGAAATGGAATAGATTCTTGGATACTAATGTTCCACCTTATTTCCAGGAGCATTCAGTATGTATGCAGTATATTGAGACAAGCCCTGCCTACTAGGGAATATGTTCTCCCTCCCCATTGTTAGATGTCAACAGTTACTTTTCATTGGCATAGCACATTTTTCTGTAACTGACCAGACAGAAAATCCTACTCCTATGGTTTTTGTCTGGATCCTTAAAAGACACAGCAGTATCTTTAAAGCGAAACCAGTCACTGAAGATAACAATGCTCAAGGCACAAATATTTGCAAAACTGAAGAAAACTCAAGACGCCCGTAGCCGATTAAAAATCTGTGGTCAGGAGCTAAAACTTCTGCCTGTTTAGCTCTCCATGGCATCTCATTAGAGCAGAGGATTCCCCCCAAAGCAGCCCAGTTTGGCCTACTTACCTTATGATGCCTGCTTGCTGGCTGTGACCTGCTTCCTGAGCAGAGAATGGGCAAGGCCAGCTAAGTTACATGAATGAGGAACATCTGGATTATGTCCTCCCTCTCCCAGTCCCTTTGTTAGAAAGTAGATTGTTTTGCTCCCAGAATAAGCCACCCCCTAAAGTCTTTGAGAGCACTGCTGTTCAGGGGAGTATCATTCTCCAGTGAGAACAAGAGAGTAATCAGCTGCAGGACTGGCTGTGGCCTGTGTTTCGTTTTATCAAGTAGCTCCACATGACTGTGAGATAGATATTCCTGAACCTGGGAAACAGAGAACATACTCGTCTAATCTGGATCTTTCAGATGATGAGTTTAACATCTTAAGGGGCAATGAAGGGGGGCGGGACTAAATGGTTTTGAATTTTCAGAATCACTCATGCATAATTTGGATTATCATGTGTGCATATGAATATAGGGATAGAAAAATCAGTGCCTTCAAGCCATGCAAAGAACAGGGCAGACGTGCCAGTATGACTGAGGACAGACTTCCATTTAAATAAAGGATAAAGCACATGAAAGAAAGCAAGAAATCATTAACATTAATCTGATTTGGTCTCCTGAGAAAAGGCAGTTTATTAACTTCAGGTTTGGGTTGTGTTGCTGAAGTCTTGTGCTGACCTAGCTTGTGTCTGACGAAGACTTCAGATCTCTCTTATCAGTCACATGACATGCATGTGGCCTGGCTCTGCCCCCCCACACACACACAACTTTCACAAGCCCTTTACCTGTCCGCTAGGATTTTTGCAGCTGTGAATGGCAGCTGGTATTACCCAACCCTTGGTACTGTTTACATAGTGGCATTTGTGTTTGCATATTGCAGTCTTCTGCACAGTGCTGTGTCAGAAAATCTTTATAGTACCTTAAATTAGATACCAAAGTTGAGTTTTCATACTTCTATTGCAGATTAAGAAATGAGGACATTATAGAGTTAATAAAGGTGAAGTGACTTGGCCAGGGTCCCAAATGCAAAGACCTAGTCAAAAGCAAAAGGCTGGTTATTCCAAGTTTAGTTTGGCTTACTGGAATGCACGGCATACTTCCATAAAGCACTGGGAGAGGACACTGGAGTCTGAAGGCCATTTTATGGGTTCTGGTTTGGGTTTTTTTTGGGGTTTTGTTTTTTGTTTTTGCTTCACTCAGCACTTCCTAGACCATATCCTGTTTGTGCATAGCTAAGTGTTAACTTTTTCCAGAGGCGGCTGGGTCCAGGGCACATGACTGAGCAGTCTGGCATCTGAGGTGACGGGAGTGATGATGTGGTCTTCTCACAGCTCTTCTATTGCTGTCTGTCTGATGCTGTCGCATCTCTCCAAAAAGCAGCAGAAATCTACTGCCAAGAAGAGGGCACAAAGTTCCTATGGAGAAGTTCCTGGGGCTTGGCTCTCAACCCATCAGCTCCTGGAGGTCCTGAATTTAGTGTCACCTCTGTCCTATAAACCACTGGAGGGAACACACGCTTGTCTTTGCAGTGCTGAAGGTTGAACTCAAGGCCTCAACATATTCGAGGCCAGTGCTCTACCACTAAGTGATATCCTTTTTATTTTCAACACTCAAATACAAACACTTCATATTGCCTGTACTGATTTCTAAGTTCCCTTCCTGTATGCCTAAAGCATGAAACTAATGCTTATAAATTAATACTTGTCTTTTGTATGATCAATAGTAACTCTACTACCAATCTTCTCAATGTCAAGTCATTTAAAACAGTGCTGACCTTGATGATAAAGCACACAAAACTAATGATGTCAAAAGCAGTCAGGAAGGCTGGAGCAGCACTCTATTATCACAAGCATGGTTAAGGCATCTGTCTGCAGCTACTCAGCTGCAATAATGTCGGGGATCAAATGTAGTGCCGTGGCGACCTCTCTGAGGTAGTAGCTTCTGAAGCTTACCTTTTATTATCAACAGACTTGACTTCATATTGGGGTAGGTATCCTCAGAGTGTACAAAATCAGTGACTAATTTGCCTTTGATACTGTATGCAGGCAATGCTCCTACCCAAGTTTGAATACCAAAATCTAACCACATAGAAGTTTTTTATACTTTTTGCTGTGGCCACAATTACAACACAACAACAATTCTTTTTCTTTATTTCCTACAAAGGATTTGCTGTGAGTCTGCAAGTCATCTTGTCCAATCCTAAAGCAGTATTTAAGCGCCGTGGATCTCAGCCAGGGATGCAGGAATCTGACTTTCTAAAGCAGATAACAACAGTCGAAGAACTGGAACCAAAAGCTAACAACTGCACAAAGGTACTTATCCATCTCTCTCATGCTGCTAGAGCTTGAGTGTTGATAGTGAAGCTGCTTAAACTGTCCCCTCCTCCATAGGTTCTCGTGTGGCACACTCGGACAGAGAAAGTCAATCTAGCCAATGAGCCCAAGTACCACCTGGACACAGTGAACATTGAGGTGTAGACACCAAGACCAGCAGATGTAGAAGAGGAAGTCTGGAGTTTAGGCTGCAGCTCATTCAGGTATTGTTCCTATTCCTTCAGCCTTTCCTGTCAGCTGATGGACATCTGTTTAAAGAGCTAACTGGATGCTACAAAATGTGTTGTCTTCATTTGTTCTGCATGTGTTCTCTAAAACATAATTGGAAAGATTTTTGTACAATGAAGTTACATGACATGTACTGCTCCTCCCTCCCTCAAGCCATCTCATAATTGATGGAATAGGTTTTAGAACCTGATGATGAGTATTTTGTCAACTAAGTAGTCCCAACTCTTGGCTTCACAACACGAAATATTTGGAAAGTGATGGTGGCAGTGTACACTGTAGGAAATAAAACCCACAAGTAAAAGAAGGTGTGTGGATTCATCTGTTTAATATAGGGAAATAACATTTTGTCAATACTAGGCACCATAAAATGTAAACACAATTACTGTCATAAACCTGGATATACCTTCAAGGATTAAGAGTGGCTTTGTTTTAGTTACCCTGTGTGCATATAGTGCAGAAAAAAGGTCTTAATATTAGCACTATGTACATGAGAAGAGGTCCAAATTACAAGAGACAGCAAAAATTTGAAATTCTTGAAACATTAAGTTGTACAGTAACATCCAGGTTTATCTCCTTTCACTAACCACGTTCCCTGTTAAGCACATCATAACAACAGCACAGTGAAGTGAGTGATGACTAAAAGAATTTGATACACTAGAAAACAGTGTTCAGTGATACATTTACATTCTATTTATATGATTAAACATTTGATCATACAGTACCTTCCTACAGGATTACTGGCTAATTTGGGGGTGGGGTTTTATACTGTTAGAAGTATTACTAACATGATAACTACTTCCCTTATATGCAAACATTAGAGCTATAATTTTGAGAATAAAACCGATTATGCGAGTTAACTGAGCAGCTTCTCAATGTGGTTTATGACATCATGGGAAATATGAGCAAAGCTGCCCTCCACAGAAGATGGTTTCTCAACCTGCTTTCACATCAAATTTAATCAGCACAGACCAACACGGTCAATCAGGTAATTCTTAATGTGAACAAAAGGAGGAAAAGAAAATACATATGTACATGAGTAAACAGGAACTAGATGCCTTTTTAGCGAGGAATGTCAGGTGTTGGTTCTGGATGCAACTCTGCTGCAGCTTTTCACTTCCACAGTTGTGTGCTCAGAGTCTGCCCCGATGAGCTTCCAGACCACCCTGCTGTTGTGCTTGGGGGCTGACCAAAACCTGCGGTCGGGTTCACATTACTGAGACTCATGCCAGCCATTTGCTGATTCATCTGTGAAACACATAAAAGGCTTAGTTTATGAGGATTATTTACTTCTCATTTTTTAGCTAGTCAGACATTTCATCATTACTGTGAAAATTAATTAAGCACTGGGGTAAAGGACACACACAAGTTCTCTACTGAATCAGATAGCTTTGTTTCTCATTTTTTTCCTGGGTCTAGCACTGTTTATGAAGTAATCCATACTTAGTTCACTTTCTATATTCAAATTTTTATCCCAAAGATTAACCATAATTGAAAAAAATACCAAAGTAATCTTTGAATTTGTATCTGAGTATGAGTCCATCTCTCTTTCAACTACACAAGGGTCTTTCTTCTGTGATTCCCAAGACTGAGAAATTTTAGAAATTAAAACATTCAAAATTACCCTAAAACACCTGCAATTCTCTATTAACATCCTAAATGACTTTAATATACTTTCTAAATATTGAAAAGGTTATTAGCATGTGTTTTGGGCTTTGTGTTGTAACAGCTAAAATTAAATTTCATTATATGCTATAAAATAAAAGATAACATGTATTTTTTTTCTAGGCTAGAGTTCAGTATATTAGCCTCTTAGCTAGCCCAGTGGTTCTCTCACTACCAAGGTTGATGGAGCCGGAGAGGCAGGATTTACCATAATACAGTTCCAAATCCATGACCGGTGTTAAGTGTGTTCTTTTTGCAGGGTTTTTGTAATACCCAATAACCACCATGGCTCCAATGTGTCTAGAGGCAGGCAGATCACATCTTTACTTATGCTCACAAACACTCTCACGGCCCTCATCACTGTTTCATCTGTAATTTAACTTGAGCTGATGAAACTCAGCATCCTGGCCACAGAAAAGCTGTTTCTAACATCTGGCACTTACAATTTTCCAGATTTCCAGTGTGTACACAGTGTGGTTTATGTATAAACCACAATTATAAAAGAAAAATCGTCATGAGTACTTGTAAGACATTTGGTGATTTTGTTAATGTTCATTAGAAATCAATGTTCTGAAAGTAACTACTGGTCTTACAGGAACCAAAACCCCTAAAATGCAGGAAAGGGAATGCAAACATGAACATTAATTCAAAAGCCTCTGACTGCACATCTACAGAAAATTCAGAACAGCATTTAATACAGAAATATTATCTTCAATTTAAAACTAACCCAGAGCCGGGCGTTGATTGCGCATGCTTTTAATCCCAGCACTTGGGAGGTAGAGGCAGGCGGATCTCTGTGAGTTCGAGCCAGCCTGGTCTACAGAGAGAGTTCCAGGACAACCTCCAAAGCAATACTGAGAAACCCTGTCTCAAAAAACCAAAAATAGAGAAACACTTAAAAAAAAAAAAAAAAAAAAAAAAAAAAAAAAAAAAAAAAAACACAGATAGATATGGAATTTATCAGTGAGTACCTGAGGTAAGCAGGGTTTTTTACTATTATAGGGACTCTCGAACCAATGGATGCTCCTCATAAAACTCTGCTTTGAGAAAATGAAGCTGTATTTCTTTCTCATTGGTAGGAGTTAACCAGCAACAATCTAAGCTTACTAGTGAAGACAGACTGGTCTAAGTGGACTACTAAATGATTCCAACCCAGGAGCTGAGTAAAGCTGCTACTAAGCCTTGCAGGTGGCAAATGAGGAGCAGGTGTCTCTCATATGCTGTAAAAGATAAGGTCTAGCTAGTACGGGTAGATTAGGCATTTTTCACCATTACAACCCTGTTACAGGCTGAAATAGGAAAAGGAAAATCCTAATGTTTATTTACAGAATACTCTTAAAATAAGTACAGTAACAAGTCATCATCTGGTAAAACCTCACGATGTCTATAAATACTTGGATCTGATCAAACTTAACTCTATTCAATTCTTTGACTACACCATTAGATTTCAAAGCAAACTACTCAGAATATACACATGGCTTCTTGGATTTTGGGACGGTAGACAGTTCATGAGTCTTACCTGTGAGAGATTCCACTGAGGCTGCTGAGATTGTGGCAGGCCAAACTTACTCTGTGGTGCACCCATTTGTCCTACCATTCCTCCTTGAGGGCCAACAACATTCTGAGGAAGTTGCATAACTCCAGTCTGTGCATTTCCCATAAACCCATTGGGCATGGGCATGCCCACCATCATGCTAGTATTCTGTCCCATCATATTTCCTATAAGACCGGGAGCTGCAGGCACTGGTACACCCATGGAAGGAAAGCCTTGAAATGCAGTCGCTGCTTGTGAGGTAAATGGTATATTTGTGGGTCCCATAAACACACCTGTATTGTAAGAAACATGAAGTAAAAAACAAAAACAGGTCAAGAAGAGGCTCTTGTATATGACTGCACTCATCTCCAGATACAGAAAAGAGATAACTTCCTGCCTGACCCACCGAGCAGACAGCTTAAAACAACCCATACCTCAACCTTCAGAGCCTGTTATTTCCATAACACAAACAGGGGTACTGTCTATTGTGAAAGCCAAATGCACAGCCTGAGAGTACATGTTGCTCCTGCTGACTCACAACACTGCTCACTCTCAAACCAACCAGGCATGTAACCAGGTGGTTATCCATTTTTATGCAGAAGTAGGTGGGTAGCCACACAGTTCCAGTCTATACACGAGACGAGCTCATTTTGGAGGAAAGGTCTGATGGATTAAAACTGAATGAATTGTATGCTTTTATTTAACTATAATGACAAGGCATTTAAGTTTTGCACATTTGCTTATTTGTTTGCCTGTAGAGGAAATAGAGTGTACACAAAGTCAAACTTCACGTAAATCAAACTCTAGTAATTGTTCAAAGACAATTCATGTCCTATAAACTTGTAGAACAATATTAAGTGATATGTGAACAACCTGTCAAATAAATAAAGTTTTGTGAATCCTATATTGTTTAATTCTAATGCTTCATTCATTTCAGTCATGTAGACTGCAAGAGGCATCCACTACTACCATAGGAAAATGCAACTGATACTACAGTTTCAAGGGATGTTGTCTACAATACCACTGTCATTCTCTGGAAGCAGAGTTCAACATCAATTACCAGGAGTGCTTTGCTGTGTTCCTGTACCATACAGAGATAAGATGGAGTCTTTGGAGAGTTGTTTCTTTGCTACTTCTTCTGACTTTGTAGTTTGCTCAGTGAACAGATCCAGATCCCCGGGTGTTACAGTAGACAGGGTAGCAGCTGCTGGTACAGAGGATGTCCCCTGGGTAAACACCAAAACAAACTGTCAATCTCTACATAGCACAGCTTATTACTTAAAATTCACACAAGATTACGAAATTTGGAGTAAATTACAACAGGTAAAATTGTGACATCTATAAAGATCATTTTTGAGCCCACACAAACAAGAGCATCTAGATGAAGGTGTGATGTTTCACAATATAACCTGTTAGGGTAAACCAAGGGGACTGAAGCTCCTTCATAGCCACATTCAGTAGCTGGGACAAAGCAGTTTTTGCTCATCACATCTTGAATGCAATGGGTCTGACAACATGCAGGAACAGTCTGAAGACTGCAACTCCGTCTTTTAATAACTAGTGGCCCATGAAATAAACGTTACAATTTGCAGAAGCAAAAGGTTATATAATAGCATAATAAATGCTTTTACCTTTTCAAAAGCTTTAAGCACCTACTCTAGGTCTATACGAGAATGCCCCACATACAAAAGTGAAGTACAGAAAAACTTTGGCTACCTAC